TAAAATCGAATTAGTTTTTAGGCAGCCATGTAACACCCTAATCCAGTTAGACCCGAAGATTCATGGATTACAATGTTACATGGGACTATCGAAATAGTGACCCAAAATTTTCTTTTAAGACTGCTTGTAATCTATGAAATTTAGACATTCATAATGTAATATAAAAACATGATAATAATTGGGTTTACAAATAATGGGAGCTTCCAAAATAAATCCACAAAATAATAAAAAAAATATTAGCTTTTAAAAGAGTTACGATTGAATACATAACAAGGTCCATAATAGTGCATGCCCTCTAAAGATGACTCAAGACGTATTCTGAGAGGTCTCTGGAAATCTGCTCTACTACACTGGAATATCTGATGACGATAGCTTCCCACAATCTGTCCCTAAGAACCTGCGCACGAAAACACATTCCGAACGCTGAGCTTACGAGCTCAGTGCCTCACTAAAAATTGTACTATATTATATGCATTAACTACATGAAATGGCAAGTGGCACATATCTGAGTATACAACTACTGAACTGCTAAATTGTGGCTTTCATTATGGTGCGATTGAGGGACTCTTTATCTCAGAGCTCACGCACCCCTCTAGCACTACCGAAGCACTATCAGGTACTCCTAGGTGAGATACAAAATTCTGCATTGGAACGTACACCCACCAACTTACTCCGTCGATTCTTAGGGCATCTGCACCCAGTCGGCTGATATAGTGTCGTGGCACTAACTTGGATCCACTAATTGTCGTATTTATGCTAAAATGAACTCGGGTGTCCTAATTGTTCCCCGAGCGTCAACCAAGGCTAGTTTTATGTAAACCTAGTTATTTCTGTTTCTATTATTATGATATTAATTATTATTCTCGCTTGAAGTCTTATTTGATGATATATTGAAGTTTTGGGGTACTTCGAGTCTAATTCCCTTTAAAACTGGCATTTTTGTCCAAAACAAACTGAAAGTATCGATACTCCTGCAAAGTTTCGATATTTTATATAAGTTATGATACTTTTAAACATTCTGTCATGCCTAGTTTCAAAACATTTTATGATGTATGATGTCCTTACCGATTCTGGAGATGGATTCGATTCCTCAAAATAATGCTGATATGCTCCCTACTTTTTCTTTTCGCTTGTACCTACGTGTGAAACACTCACACGCTAAGTTTTCACTTAGTGAGACATTTAGATTAACTAAATAAACATTTCTATAATAATAATAATAAAACATCATAGAAAATAATTTATAAATAAATAATGCAAATAAAATTTACTGTAAAATATAAAATCAAACTTGTATCGTTTCTTTTCCTATATCGTTTCTTTTTCTTGCACTATTTTTTTAGATGATTTTATAGCCGTATAATCATGAGAATGCATGTTACATGAGTCTATGATTGAGTGTTCTATATTATGTGCAGTATAAATTGCATGTATCTATATGGCACATTTTTTGCCCTGTAACTGTGATTGCACCATAGGTGCACTGTGAATGTACATGTACTGTAGAACACAACAACATTGTACCTATGAATCTCAAATACATAGATGTATCCGGTAACTATGTTGTACATGAATGTACTCCTATGTGATCAATCAATAACACTCCACCTCATGTTATGACAATTGTACCACTATCTCTCAAGTCATATATACTAGACTTTTATTAACATCATATATCGTTTCACATTTACTCAAAACCATGAAACAAAATATATCATTTATCCTATAAATTCATTCATATAAAATATATCAAAATCTCAAAAGTAAAATATGTATTGGGAAGTTCACACACAAAATATTCAAATATCATGTAATAAAATTCATATAAAATGTATTGGGTAAATTCATACCCAAAACCATTTAAAAAATTATTTATAAAATATCATAAAATTGTTCAAATTGTTTTCATTTAAAAACATTTAAAGTTGGCTCATCGTAAGTCGTCCTCTTATCGTATATAAAATAGGAAAAATGCACTCACTTGATGCCTCACTAGTGTCCTTTATTTATAATATTGCTTTCACTCTTGAATTTTATCCTTTCCTTTTTGCTGTTTTTGGTCTTGATATCAGTCATGATTTACCCTAAATTAATTACCTGACATGACAATTTCGAACATATGTTAATATCTAACTAACTTATTAAACACGTATTCATATACAATCTAAAAAAATACGGTAAATAAATATTCGATATTAATATCTATAAAAAAAATCAATTCTATTCAACTCTTGCAAAAATAACCTTCCTAGTCCTTAAAAATAATAATTCTCAACCTTAAATCGCTTAACTTTTCAAAATTTAACATTTAACCCACAATTACACATTTCTTCAAATTAAACACCATATTTTGAAACTTGTCAAATTGGTCCTTTCTATTCACTTTAATCTCTAACAATCGTCCTACTCAACTAATTTCACAATACGTCCAAATTAGTACATTAATATTATACTTTTGTAATTTCACCATTAACTTTGCAAAAACTTGCAATTTAATCCCTAGGAATTATTCAACTTCCAAATCAACACAATTCAACATTTCATCATTCCAACTATAATTTCCAGCATAATACCTTAATTTTTCAACATTTACTTAACAATCCTTCAATTTCTCAAAACTTGCAAAAAAGTCCTCTAAGCTTAACATTTATTCCGAATTGATCCAAAACTTAATTCAAACCTTATGAAATCACTCTTCTATCTAATCTAAACCCAAAAGAAATTTTTATATAATTTTCCTAATTTTTTCTCCATGACCGAAACTTTTGATATTTCCCCCTAATGGTCCCCAACTTTGATTCAAGCTTAATTTAATCACCAACAACTTATTTCCATTCATTTCTAATCATTTCTATATCAAAAAAAATCAAATTCAACAAATTTCCATAAGAATACTACATGGAAAAATATATTCAATAAAGTCCCCCATGATTTTTACTCCACTTTTAAGCTTGTATATGATTCCATAATACTCCTAAGATCAAAAACTAACTTTATTTCATTGATTTATCACTTCCCCTTCATCCACCTTACAAACCCATTTCACTCTTTATGCAAGAAATAATGAAAAACTTATACCAAAAGAAAGAGAATTTAGCGGGGAACAATTTCTTATTTCACATTTTAGTCCTAATTCTAATTAAAAGCTAACAAATTGAAAACAAAGTTTGTTCACCTTTAGCTATGGAGTACACGGTTGATGGAGGAAGAAGAGAAGAGTTTTCTTGAAATTTCTCCTTAAAAAGCCATTAAAATGAATTTAAAATTCAACTTAGTCCAAAAGTCCAATTTGCAATTAATAAATCCTAGTATTTACCCTCATGTCATCGTTTTATCTCCATTTTAATAACATTAAATAAATATAAAAGTTACATTTACTAATTTCCATCTTTACCTTTCAAATTTTCCAAATTTCAACTTAGTCTTTTAAATTCACTATTCTACTTTAAAATGGAAAAATCAACTTAATTCCACTTATTCATGTTAAATTCTACATATTAAAAACATTAGAATAATATTACTAACCTTATACTACCATCCTTCAAATTTTTGTAAATTTTCGATTCAATTTGGTTATCCGAATATTTTACCGAAATTTATCGCTTAATAGACATTTATACAAATTCTTGATCGAAATCTAAATTTCATAGAGAATCCATTCTTAAAGATGAAAATTTTATTTATGAAATAAATTTTCTATTTGAAAAAATTACCACTTTGATCCTTGAACTTTTCTTAAATTTCTATTTTGACCACAAAACTTTCCAAATTTACATTTTGGCAACTTATAAAAATTTTGGGGTATCACAACATTCCAATTCCCTCCCCAAATTCTTCAAAATATGTAATTAGCTCCAACCATAGTTTAACCTAAATTTTTGGTACTTGAACTTTTTCCAAATTTCTACTTTGGCCACCAAATTATCCAAGTTTACATTTTGGTCCCTTATCAAAATTTTGGGGTATTACAATATTCCAATTCCATCCCCAAATTCTTCAAAATATTTAATTAGTTCCAACCATAGTTTAACTTAAAATTTTGTTTTTATCAAACATATAATAATGCAATTTAGCCAAACAATTTTATTAATAATGGATTTGATTAGTATGTACATATAGTTAGAGATGAAATTGCCATTTTCAAAAAGTTTTGAGACCAATTTGGAATGAGGGTCGCAATTTGGGGATGAAATTGAAATATTCAAAAGTTCAAAGACTAATTTAAAATGATAAACACATTTTAGGTATGAAATTGGAATATCTAAAAGTTTATGGACAGATTTAAAATGAGAGTTATACTTTGAGGATGAGTGATGCAATTAACTCATAGTGTTACTAAGAGATACAATCATAAAACCAGGAAAAGATTAGTGTGGATAGACTCTGAAACTTACATAAATGAAGCAAAGATTTAAAAACAAAATGGTTGCATTAACTTGAAATACAGAATGAGATACGATTCATCCTGCAATGTTGTTCTAAAGATACTCTGATTGCTTTTTTGTTTTCTTCATTGCAGGTTTAGGTGTTCAAATGATCTCTGCATCTATATTAAGTAAAAACAAAAGCAAGGAGGCTGGCGTGCAGCCAATCCCGCTGATACATAGATAGAGCGACAGTGAAGAGACCCAACTGTTACCTCTGCAAAAGCAATGCTATGTTGGGTCTTCTTCATGCATCATACTGAGGAAAAGCCATGTCAAATCATGCTTCAAATTACAACCCTTTTCCCTTTCTCTTAAAAAATTGCCTTTTGTTGTCGTTTGATTATATATATACATTTCCTAACAATTTGTTCCTCTTCTAGTCACTGTCTTTCTCCTATCAAATGGCAACAAAACACCGTCACCATCTCTACTGACACACAAAGGGAGTGGTTGAAGCAATGAACTGGAAGATTTTCCTTTACCTTCTGGTTGGTTTATAAAGCTACACTCGACATTTCTGAATGCTTTATATCTGTTTGTTGTTTATTGCTTTGAGTTTGAGCTTGTTCTCTCATGGATTCTTTTCCCTTTTTACTTGTTGGGTTCCTTGTTTTATCGTGTGGGGAGTTTGCAGAGAGTGACTTCGTGGTGGAAAAAAATGAGCTTTGGGGGCTTTTCGATGTCATAGGCTCACTTGTAGATGAACCCGGTTGGGCCGAACTGCACCCTGAGCCATGCAGCAACACACCATGGCCTGGAATCGAATGCGAGATCGGTCAAGACGAAGATCCTCATAATTTTCACGTTACAAGCATTCACGTCGGCCCTGATGTTTCCTCCCCACCGTGTAAATCATCTGCAAAGATATCAGATTCTTTGCTCAAACTACCTTACCTCAAATCCCTCTCCATTTTCAACTGTTTTGTGACATCAACGGATTTGCTGTCTCCTACGTTGTTTGGTTCGCTTTCTTCCTTGGAGCATCTGTCACTTCAATCAAATCCATCTCTATCCGGTCAAGTCCCTCCAACCTTGGGGAATCTTTCAAAGCTAAGGATCTCAACTTTGTCACAGAACAATCTAACTGGTGAGATCCCACAAGAGCTTGGCGGTTTAGTCAATTTGGAGCAACTTGACCTGAGTTACAACAATCTAACCGGTGAAATCCCACCGGAGCTTGGGAAACTAAAATGTTTAGCCATTATGGACTTGAGGTCAAATGGCCTTGGTGGGGTGGTGCCATTTGGTTTAGCTCAGCTTCATCTTCTTCAAAAGTTTGATTTGTGCTCAAACAGGATCCATGGGAAGATACCACCAGAGATAGGGAAGCTAAACATTTTGGTTTTGCTTGATTTGAGCCATAACTTCATAAATGGTCCAATCCCTGAGACACTGTCCGGGTTAGAGCACATACAGTACTTGATAGTTTATTCAAATCCCATAAATTCATTGATTCCCTCATTTCTTGGGTCCCTCAAGAGCCTTACCTCAATCAGCTTCTCGGGATGTGGGTTAACAGGCCCAATACCGAACTCCTTGTCTGCTGCATTGAACAACTTCACGGCTCTTTCACTAGACAACAACAGACTCAATGGCACAATCCCTTCAAATCTGGGGTACCTTCCAAATCTAGACCAGCTTAATCTCAGCCACAACAAGCTAACTGGGGAACTGCCCTTCTCAATGGATTTCATCAACAGACTTGGTGAAAGGCTTGATGTTAGAGGCAACAGTGGGCTATGCACAAGCTACAACTTGGCTACCAATATCTCAACATATCTACAAACCAGGACTTGCTTGGGCAAGCAAGGCATGGTTGACAACGTAACTTGTCCCCAACCTTATGATCTCAAGGGAAAGAACAAGAACCCATATTTGTACAATGGTAGAACCGGCTCATTTGCTCCTTCCCAAGACACAACACCACAGTTCATTGTAACTTGTTTTGTTGTTTTAAACATGTTTTCCCTTTCGTAAGCATTGATCTCCCACTGATTTAATGGCTTTGATGGGTCATTTTCTGGCTGGGGAAAATTGCAGAGAGCCTTAAGGGTACACAGACGGTGAAACTAGGCAGAGTTTCAGACAAAGAGGGAGGGGTGGCATTTACAATTAGTAGTTGGTCTCTGGTGACAAAGCTCCATCTCTGATTGCCGGTTCATTTGTGGCAGCCTTTTTCTGAAAAGAAAGAAGCAAAAGGGTGTCAGATCTGGTGTTTAATTGAACTGCATATTTCAGACTTCTAACAGGGAGAATTGATATGGGTCTTTCAACTTGAAGCTTGGTATAATTTTGCATAATGACCCTTTTATTTTTCTTGAATTTGAAATTTAATTAGCTCGGGTGTTAAAACGAAATGGAAGGGGAAACGTAATAGTTATGTGTGTTGGTGCGAATTGATTTTTATTAATGTGGCATTTATAGTTATTTACATCTTTTTCTTTTTTGAATTTTATCTTCTATGTCTAGAAATGAAAGATATATAATTTTATTTTTATCTTGTATCATCGTTGTAATTATCATTCTTTGATATCTTTTTTGACTATTTGAGATATCGACGAATTCATCTCATATTCTCCGATTATTATACAATCATAACCCTAAAACTAATGAGACTTAAAATTACTATGATTGATAATATTTACCGTTCGATCAACGTAAAATCAAGATATATAAAGTTTTCTCATTTTTCCTCTCTCTACCATTAGAGTTTGGAATAAGATGTTTAATCCTAGATAAATCAAAGAGAATTCGAAATTAGACATTTATTTTTAAAAATGACAAAATTTTAGGACTAAAATAAGAATAAGAATGATGAATGATAAAATATATAATTTACCATTATGTAATTGATAATATCAATAGGGTAAACTACATGTTTAGTATCCAACTATCACTTTTATTCTGTTTTGGTCACCTAATTATTTTTTTTCAAAACATACCTAACGCTATGCTTTATTTTCACTTTGGTCACCTAACGTTACATTCTAGTTTCATTTTGGTCATCTAATGTTCATAAATAAACAAAAATACATTTTTAGTTTTGACATTACCATATGGTGACACATCAACAATTAGCTGACCCTTTTTCCCATATGTAATGGGGTAAGGGGGAGGTATGATAGTAGGCTGCCCCCAACGCCAGGTTGAGAGCAGCTTCCATGGGAGACCTCCAAATTATGAAATACCTTCCGTGGGACTCGATCCCACGACCACAAGGTTAAGAGCCTTGTGCTCTACCAACTGAGCTGGACGGGCATTTCATGACACATCAACATTACTGTTAATTTTTTAATGCCATGTGACCGAAATAAAACCAAAACTAAATGTTAGGCATAATTTTGGGAAAATATAGTTGAGTAACCAAAACGAAATAAAAGTTATAATGAGGATACTGAACATGTATTTTACCCTATCATTTATTACACCTCACTTTCTTGTTTGATTAATTGAAATAAAAAGAAGAATGAGATATATGATCACCATTGTCCTTTCTCAATCATCTTATAGGATTCAAATGGACCATTATCACTTTCCTTTGTCTATTTTCTAATGGAAACCTAATTTTTGGGTGATAATAATATATGTGAACCATCAAACAAAAGGAAATGTAAAGGGACTTGAAACTTCATTTGGACTTTTCTTTTTGGACTTACTCATTGAAACGGACCATCGAGGAGCTCTAGGTTCACTGTCTGCTAGCTGCCATGATCTAAGCATAAAATGAAGTTGCTGCTTGCTTATGTCATTACGGAATACGTTAATATGAAATTTTACATAAAACCGGACGAATTTAAGAAATTGTATCAAAAATTTAAAATGAGGAATTATAAAATTTTGAAAGTGTGAAATTAAATTATTAATAAAAATATAAAAACGTCTAAATTACAAAAAAAAAAAAAAGATTTTCAGACTGTATCTTTCAGCATTCTCTATCGATCTCTAATACCACTTGTAAGACAAAAAAATTTAATTAAACATGAAATCAAACAAAAAATTAATGATGTAAAATAATCAAGAATAAAATAAATAGTAAATTTGTGAAAGCATACTTGAATCTATTGTTGAAGATTACCTAGAAAGTTGAGATCTTAAAGATTATTTTATGATTGTGATCTTCCGAGAAGATAAATTTCTCTTTAATATACATTCCTTGACAGGATAAGAGAAAATACGAGATGATTTGTTTCTTGGGGACCATAACCCTTTATATAGCTGATTTAAGAATAAATTATTATCTATACTTATGACTATAATTCTCATCAAATTATAAATACAACTTCAATAATGACTACACTTTTATTTCAATGATACTTCTAATACCTTATGAGTTTATAACATAATTGATCACTTAATTTATGTCACATTTTATAATAACAATATAAAAATATATATCCATATGAATTTTAATCCAACATGACACCCAAAAATCATGGACTCTACCCTTTTCTTTCTTGTTTCCCAAAAATTATGAAATCAACTGCGAACCAGTGCGAAGAGTGATGAGCCCAAGAAATAGGCCTACCTAGTTTTAAACTATTGTTGGGGGCTAAGCACTCCTTTGGATTTGGGAAAAAGAAGTTTATCTTTTTGAATTAATCATTTGTATTTGATTTATTAATAGAATAATTTATATTGAGTTTTGTAGAGATCCATTGTGAGGGATCATCTGAACCCAGTTTACTTCATACGCAAATACTAGGATCTAAACCCTTGACATTGGTTAAAAAATTCAGTATCTCGTCACACTAGACAAACTGGTGAAAAAAGAAGTTTTAGTTCAATAGTATAGAAAGTCTATTTGGTGTGGGTTTGTCCATGGATTTATGTAGGTATATATTAGTTTATAACATGCATTATTAACTTGGTTATTTGGGTGGTGTTTGAACACCGTAGAGTAATGATAAAAATATATAATTATTAAGATAATACTTATTTAGGTAGGGTATCACAATGAATTTTAAGGCTAACCTCATCCACACTAAATAATCGTTATTAAAAGTTTTACAAATTCATGTATGATTCGTATTTGTCTTTTCTTACCATTATAAACCCAATTCTTATCTACACAAATCATATCTTACAAAATCACATCATAAAGATACTTATAAGATAGGTTTCTCGTATGAAAATTTTAATAAGTAGATTTTTAAATCACCCAATCTTTTAGTTTTTGTTACCAAAATTGATTTATGAATTTAATTTTTATTCCAGATTTTGTTAACTGAAATTTATTTCATTATTACTAGTTAAATGTATATATGCATGTGTTGATAAACATTGAAATGTGACCCCAAATCCTTGTGATAATTGGCATAAATGGAGCCACGTAGATGACATTTCGTCCTCAAATTCCAATCCCACTTTTCTTTTAACGTTTCTATAAAATTTCTCAACATCGTTCATACATACCTTCGGAGTAGCTTCCTATGGCATTTTCATGGACAATGAAGTTGACATTGGGATCCCACACAGCTATGGCATTTTTTTTGGGACTTTGCGTTATACACATCCCGATCTCAATCCCATGTTTATTGCATGAGAAGACTTTGCTTAGATTTAATTCATATTATTGGTGGTGAATCTAGAAATATTTTTTAGGGTGGATATATCTGTAAATAATATAAAATTTAAAATTAGACGGATACAATTAAAATTTCAAGATAGGTTCCGTCTATAAAATAAATAACTAATCGAATAAAACTCAGATTTCAAGGTGGACACGAAAAGCTTCAGGATGGGCAGCATCACTAAAATAAATAACTCATCGAATAAAATTCCAATTCCAAAATGAACACGTTCCCACTCTCACCAAGCTGTGAATCCGTCACGGCACACTACCCACGTACGCGGACCTCTCCAACTAAGCCATATCCAATATATTTCTATGAACAACTATACGAGCCAGTTCATTCACTACTTTTTCTTTTAATATTTCATTTTAAATTTAATCCCAGCAGTCCATTCCTATACAAAACGAGGTTCAAACCATGACAAGTTTTCTCACATTGAGGTAAATAATTTTCTATTGTGTTTTATAGAAGATCATATAATTTGTGAAGGTTTAATTATTAATTTTGTCTTTGAAATAAATATAAATTATTTATGTGACCACTTGATTATGAGGAGATTTAATATGACAACAATCTTTTAATTATATCAATTCGACCACTTCCTTATTTTAAATGGTATAAATCAAGCCAACTGTTGATAGTGTTTGATGGAGGAGTTGACGTAACAATTAAAAAATTAGAATAATTCAATATCTAGTCCTCATTACTTATATATTTTATCAATTTGATCCTAATTTTAATTTAATTCGATTAATATAATCCTCTAATCAGATGATGACACATGTATAAGTGATGAAGATTAAATGTGTAATTATATCAATTTTGTTAACTATCATGTCATATCCTTTGTCAAATATTAACGATTTGTGACTTGATTGATATTATTTAAATAATTAAGTGATTAGACAAACATAATTGAAAGATCGATGATCATGTTAAAATCTCTCCTTGACTAAGTGGTCACATGTGTAATTTATTAAAATAATAATAATTACTTTTGACCGCATTAAATTTTAAACCAATCAAAATTATGATTTTTTTCTTTTTCTTTTAATGTAAACTTCACATTTTTTCCAACTTGAGACTATGCGTACCATCATGTCACGGATAGTATTTATAATTATTTGATATATTGATTAAAATATATTTAAAAATTTATAAACATATAAATAAATTATTACATAAATCAACATAAAATTGATGAAATCGCAAACTATCAACAAATGTAAAATACATCAAGGTCTTGAAGCTAGCTGCTAGCTGCTAGCGTATTTCACTCATACATTTACAAGAAGAAAAAAGGATGAAAAAGGCCTCCATGGCCAGTGTCCTTCAATGAAATCATCACTAGTTGTAATTGCTAGCCAAAGAAGATAGACCAATACCTTCCATGAATGCACTGAATAGCAAGGACATATAAGATGATAGTAATCAATTAATGGTAAGGAGAGGTTGCTTGGATTCGATTCTTTCGTTTTTGGAGGAACCGTTGAAGCGATCTCTTCATGCCGGTGGGAAGTCTGGTACTAGGGCTACTTATCGGAGATTGTAACGAAGGTGAAACCCGATCCGATCCCGAATTCGGAGTTCTTAATCTTTCATCCGTTTCTCGGTTTGCAATCATTAGAATGGCTCTTGCCTGCGCATCCCATGCACAAATCTTATCATTCACCACTCTCAAATCTTAACATGTGTATTCCGAAAAGATACAGCCATACAAGAAAAATATGACATTTTCACTAAAAAGTAGTGTTTTAGGGTCCAAATAAAATGCCAAGATTTCGAACATAGATAATCTGAGTATATATCAACGTCTAATGATTTATTTTGACATATTAAATTCAAATCTGATTCGAAGGTAATATTCTCTCCCAAGTTTGTGATGTACCGATTATAAAAGAATATTTAACATCTAAAAATGAATTACCTGGAGCTCTGTAACATCACAAACGCAAACTCTTCCATTATAGAAAATCGTGAGTTGTTGCTGTTGGTTTTCTGGGCTTTCAGTTCTCCCTTCTTCCGCCCTTCAATAATTTAAACACACACACACACACACACAAAATCAATCACAAATAATAATATTCATTGCACCCAACCAAAGAAAGAGAAGTACATACATGTCGCGACGGTCGCCGGAAAAACCAGAAGGAAGCAGCCGGAGTTCCAAGTTACAGTTTCGTCTCATCTTCATATATAATATAATGATGATGATCTGAACAAAGAAGAAAATGAAACTTTTTAATTAGTTTTTTTTCCCCGGAGAAGAAGAAACTGATAATATTGGAGAGGGGAAGGATGAAGAAGAAAATGGGGTATATATATTTGAAAAGCAAATGTTAATTAAGCACGTAACGCACATCAACGTGAAACACAAAAATGAAAAATAAAAATAAATATACACACACAGTTTAATGGAAAATCTTTGTTTTTTAATTTAAGCACGTGGAACATGCGAGTTTTTTTTTTTAAAAAGGGAATTGTATGGTGAATACACAAAAAATCCAATATCTTCCGGATTTGGCTGTTGGTTTGGCGTTTCAGCTGAGCGGGCAGTTCTGCAGTGGCGAGCCTTAATATACAGTTAAAATAAGGTATTATTGATTTTATTATTATTTTAAATAATAAAATCGGTAAAAAATATCAAAATCATCATTATTTTGACTGGTTATAATTATCTATATAGGTAAACACGGTAAAAAAAATCTGGTCAAAAAATGATATTTTCGATAAAACGCTACTTAAAAAATTATTTTTTGACCGAATTTTTTTACTGTATTTACCTATATAGGTAATTATAACCGATCAAAATAATGATATTTTAAGTCATTTTTTACTGATTTTATTATTTAAAATAACACCAAAACCGGTAACGTTTTATTTTAGCTTTAAATTAGACATAACTAGTGGCTCTTCTCATGTTTTTCAAAGAATAATAATAATAGTTTATTTCTTTTTAAGTATTTTTAGGGTCAACTACAATAGTGGTAGTTGAAGTTTTAGATTATTTTCACTTTATTCATCGAAAAAAAATTCATTAGAATTATTATTGTTAAAAAAAAACTTTCATTTTAATCGCATAACCATTAAACTATTAACAACATATGAAAAATCGTTCGAACTCAATAATTTATTGTAATATTTATCAAGTTTCAACCTCAATAATTTCATATATATTTTACAAATAAAACCGTTCGAACTCAAATCATTTATAAAAAGATAGGAGTATATCACTTGAGTGATAAGATAGAAAAACAGACATCAAAAAACATGTGATCACATTTATTTTCAAACTTATGTGAGGCGTTAGGAACATAGGATCCCATTTGGATGCTATCCTTTTTCGATTTTTTTATTTTCTATTTTGAAAAAAAGAAAAAAATCAATATCATAAAAGGATTTTTTTTTTGAAATAAGGTATTTTGTATTGAAATGTTACAAAATACACTACCTCAAGGACCTCATTAAAAAACCTCCCTAAACCTATATGGAGGAAAAATAGTAATCCTTAAGGTAGATAAAATCAAAGAACATCTTTAATAAAGTTGGTCATACAAAACAACCACCATCCCTAACTCCAGACATGGAGAAACAAAGATATAGACCATTCAATTTAACCAGACACTCCACAGCGAAGCATCGATCTAAACCAAGGACATCAATCTTCGAGCAAAAGACACCTTAGGCTCGAAACAAAATCATGGACAGCAGGAAGCTGCATTTGCCACAACCACTAAACACGTGCTCCAACCTTGAACTTAGAACACAGATATAAAACACCTTTGCCCTTCACCTCTACTGAATATAAATTGCAACGCTTTGAGAACTAAAAGGATAAAAATGGCCTAGCAAAACTCTAGCAACCAGAAAATTCATATGCAAAAACTATTAAACTCCTCGCAGACAACTGGTACGAACAACATCATTACAATTTCCCAGAACCTTCAGAAGCTCAATCAATGACAACTCAAAATAGTGAACCGTAAATGCTAGACTTTGATTGCATCAGAAGAACTAGACAAGAACAAAAATCTTGGAATTATAGGAATCGAACATCCTTAAAGAGCAGCTGAAACCCAACTTCCGACATAATAAGGAGAAACTTTACAGAATAATCAAATACACTATCATCAATTTCCAATCAATAAAGAATCTGGAGTACGTATGAAATCTTGAATACTGGGAATTAGCGATGGCCAAAGTGAATTAGCCCACATACCTATCAGAACCATAGCGGAATGAAAAATCTGATCGACCGAAAACGACTTGCCATGAAATCTGATATTATTTCGCCACAACCATATATTCCAGATAATACCGAAAAAATCGATGATCCATAAAGCCCGAAATTTCTTTTTGAAGTTCTGAGAATACCATACCTGCAGCAAATCTTTAACATTTGAAGGAAACATCATACTAATGTTCCACACAAAGCACCAGCGTTGCCAAATCTGCCATACGAACTCGCAATTCAGCAATAAATGATTAATAGATTCTGGAAACTTAGTACAGAAAGGACAACACAAATGATCCGAAACGTGAACTCCTCGCTTAATTAACTCGGAAATTACCGGCAATCTTTGATGCACTGCTTTCCAAACAAAACTAGACACTTTTGGTGGAACGAATTTACACCAAACAAATTTCCAGATGGGGTCTTCCAGTTTACCTGCAGTAGACACACTAAGCCAAAATGATTTGGGAGTGTACATTCCATTAACGGAGCCAATCCATTTCAATTTATCCACAACAGGAGCTGAGCTCACAGCTCTGTTTAAAACTTCCAAAAACTGCGACCAACGATCAGTTTCCCAATCAAATAGACCTCTCCTAAGCTCAATCTTCCAAACCCATACCCCATTAATCCAATTCCCAAACTCAGATATGTTCCCAGATTTTTTTTGCGCAAGACCAAAGATTCTAGGAAAGGATACTTTAAGAGAAAGCATTTCAGACCAATGATCATTCCAAAAATCTATTTTATCACCATTACCCATAACGCAAATAAAATCCTTTCTCACATTTCCTTCAAATGACGCAGCCTGATTAATAATATTACGCCATACCCAAGAAGCATTACGCAAGTTAGTCTCTTTTGGAACAAGAGAATCAGAACCGTAATTGTACTTATCTACAATTATTTTTTTCCAAAGACTGTCACTCTCCTGACTAAAACGCCAAATCCATTTGTTGAGTAACGCTCTATTCCTCATTTTGACGTCATAGATACCCAAACCCCCATGTGATCTCGGCCCACATACTGTTTGTCATTTTAACCAGTGAATTCCTCTCTCCGAATTTCCTTTCCAGACAAACGAAGCTATTCATTTATCAATAGAAGCTGCGAAAGACTTAGGAATAGGAAATAATGACATATAATAGACAGGTAAATTAGATAACACAGATCTGACTAGAGTGATTCTGCCCGCAAAAGATAGAAACTTGCTTTTCCAACTCTGTAGGCGCAGTTGAACCTTATCCAACACTGGTTGCCATAGAGTCTTCGAGTTATTTTTATGTCCCAACGGAAGACCCAAGTATGTCGTAGGAAGATAATCCCATCCACAATTCAACAAATTCGCCCAGCTACTTATCCTATTTTCATTGACATTGATCCCGAAAATCTTTGATTTCTTCATATTTAATTTCAATCCTGCAGCCAACTCAAAAATTTTTAAAACACGATTGAAATTCAATAAACTCATAACATTTGCTGCCGAAAAGATCAATAAGTCATCAGCAAATTGAATGTGTGATAAGTTTCTGTCTCCGGACCCAACACCAACACCTTCACACAACCCATTTGCAGACGCTTTCAATAACATGCCACTTAGTGCCTCCCCAACAACGTTAAAGAGCATTGGCGAAAGGGGACAACCCTGCCTTAGACCTCTTTTGATTGAAAAACTACTAGACGGACAGCCATTAACTAATACTGCAATGGATGGGGTCGAAATGCAGAAATATACCCATTTTCTCCATCTTTTTCCGAAGCCCATCTTCTTAAGAATAAAGTTCAAAAAATTCCAGTCAACAGTATCATAGGCTTTGCTAAAATCAGCCTTAAAAATCATAGCTTCTTTCTTCTTCTTGAACATGTCATCGATAACTTCATTAGCAATTAGGATACAATCCGCGATCTACTTTCCCGAGATTAAAGCAAACTGATATTCCCCTATAACTTCATTAAGACAACTAGCCATTCTCTTTTCCAAAACCCGAGACACTATTTTATACAAACTACTCACCAGAGAAATCGGTATGAAATCCTCTAGATGAACCGCCTCATTAACCTTCGGGATTAGAGCGATATACGATTTGCTAAAAGACTGGTCCTCAATTCTGCCCCAATAAAACTCAGTCATAAACAACATAACATCTTCCTTGATAACATTCCAAATTTTTTAAAACAAATTCCAAGTTGAAGCCATCCGGACCCGGCGCTCTCAAACCATCAGACGAATTAATAACAGACCACACCTCTACCTCTGAAAATGGACTTTCCAACAGCCTTCTCGAACCAGCACACAATCTCTTAACTGGAATGTCCCAATTTTAACTGGAATAGTCTTAACTTTATTGAAAGAACCCCGAAAGTAAGAAACAAAGGCGTTCTGAATCCTAGCTTGCTGTTTTAAAACCAAATTCTGCATCTTCAATTTAGAAATCTGATTTCTTTTAGCTCTTGATGAAGCAGTTAAATGAAAGAATTTCGTATTCCTGTCCCCTTCCTTAAACCACCTAAGTCTAGATTTTTGAAGCCACTCATGTTCTTCTCTCCGCAACAGAGACCACAAACGAGCCTTCATTACCACAAGATCAGACTGGGCAGTGGAAGAATTCTGATTCGAAATACATCTTGTTTCTAACTCTTCAATTAACTTCCCAATCTTATCCACAGAATCAGAACTCCTCTCACGTAAAAATCTTGCTCTTTCTTTAGTGACGGCCTTTGTAAGCAAGAATGATTGCGATATGTTATTGCCTCTATTCGATTCCCACACAAACTTAATTTTGTCCACAAGAATTGAGTCTTCAGCCCAATGATTAAACCATTTGAAGGGCCTAACAATTTTTCTCTGTTTCCTTTCTTTTAAGACTACCAGATTATGATCCGATACACTTCTTGGAAGAGAAAGCTGCACCAAATCAGGATATAAGCAGGCAATTTCAGGAGAAATAATTATCCTGTCTAATCTACTTGTAATCACAGACGACCCACCCCTAAACCAAGTGAAAATACTGCCAAGTGTTGGGACTTCGAACAAATCCCACCTAGAAAT